CATAAGGAGCTTGCTTCCATCACTCGAAATTTCATTTGGGGTTCTACTTCAACCAAGAGGAAAGCCAATCTTATTTCTTGGGATAGGATTACTCAACCTAGGGAAGTTGGGGGTATTGGCATTAGAGCTAGCAGTGAAGTAAACCAAGCTGCCATGGCCAAACTTCACTGGAGGATGATTACTGAAGTTCAAAAACCTTGGGCCAAAGCATTTATATCCAAATATAAGATTGACCCTCCCTACCATAATTTTTCTCGATCATCCTCCCCCATTTGCAAAGACATCTCTAAAGGGAAAGATATTGTTGAAAAAGGCATCAGCTGGGTGCCACGTGATGGCTCCAAAATTAATTTCTGGCAGGATAGATGGATTCTAAAGGAATCTCTTTGTTCTGTTTTTTATGGCCCTTTTAGACCACATGATTTGGACATTACTGTGAAGGATCTTCTTTTTCCTGATGGTAAATGGAATTTTGATGCTGTTGCTTATCCTTTACCTCAGGACATCATCCAAAAAATAGTGGCCATTGCTTTTCAGAGGCATAGTGCAGAGCAGGACTCCTTTAGGTGGAATTCTTCGGCCAATGGCAAAATTTCCATGAAATCTGCATACTTTGTGGCAAAAAATATTCAGTGGACGCAGATGGAGGATTGGTCTTGGATCTGGAATATTTGTACCATTCCCAAAATTAAATACTTTCTATGGCTTGTTATGCATGGTAGAATCCTCACCTTTGATACTCTTGCTCAATGGGGTGTGGTTTCTGATAATAGGTGCCCTAGATGTAGAAATGGTCCTGAAACTCTTACTCATATTTTTAGGGAATGTCAGTATGCTGCACTCTTTTGGAGCTCTATTATTCCTCAATCCATTTCAACATACAATCAAAATCTTGATTTCAAAAGCTGGATTAAGGTCAATGTCGGTGTACATAATTCTCTTCCATCATCTTCCACTTGGCCTACTGTTTTTTCATATGCTGTTTGGTCCATCTGGTATTCTAGGAATCAGTTCGTGCATGATAACAAACATATCTCTATTTTCGATCTGAAATGTTCTACGCTGGATAGAGCACAGGAATTCATTAGACTTGAACCTGCTCTTACTACCTTTCCACCTAAAACCATTGTTTCTGTGGGCTGGTCACCTCCCTCTCCAGGTTTTGCTAAATTAAATACAGATGGTTCTGCCCTTACTAATCCTGGTATAGCTGGGGCAGGAGGCTTGTTACGTGACTATCTTGGCAGATGGATGGTTGGCTTCTCACGAAGCATTGGATGAACCACAAGTATTGCTGCAGAATTATGGGCTATTGGAGATGGCTTGGAAATTGCTGCTGGGAAAGGAATCTTTAAAATTATTGTGGAAACTGACTCAAAAGTTGCTGTTTTACTTATTGAGTCTACTGATACTACTTTGCACTCACTTGGAACTCTTATTTCTGATTGTAGATTGCTTCTACGCCTCTTTACGGATGCTAGGATCTCCCACATATATAGGGAAGCTAATGCGGCTGCTGATTTTCTTGCTAAACTTGGATCTACTAGTGCTATTGATTTTGTCTTGTATGAGGAAAGTCCGCCTGAGCTTTCTTCCATTTTGTATCATGACTTAATTGGGACTTCCTTCCCAAGAACGATTGTAGCCAGCTAATTATCAATATATT